AAATATTAAAATTTGTTATATTATAATATAGTATACTATACTAATATACTATATTATTTATATAATATTAATTATATTACTTAAAATATATTACTAATATTATTATATATGTATTATATTACTTATATTACTAAAGTGTATAATATATATAATTATATATGATGTATAATATATTAAACTATAATAATATATAGTATAAATAATATAATAAATTATCAAAAATTGTTATAGTATAATATACTATACTATATTATAATATACTATAATATATATTATAATATATTATATATTTATAAAAAGTACAATATCAAAATATAAAGAATATAATGAAGTATTAAAAATTGTTATACTATAACATACTATATTAATATACTATAATATATATAATATATTATATATTTAATAACTATAATATAAAAGTATAAATATATAATATAATAAAATATAAGAAAATGTTTCATTTTTTCAATTATCTTAGATAATTTGCACTATTATTATTAACTACTTATTAAATAATTTCAATTAAAATATAATAAATAAATAATTGTGAAATATATAATTATCGCAGAGAAAGGGTCAGAGTTGAAGCATTCAATTTGGCATTCGCCGAATTACGGAAATTATTGCCAACATTACCACCAGACAAGAAACTTTCCAAAATAGAAATTCTACGACTTGCCATCTGTTACATCGCATATCTCAATCATGTTCTCGAAGCGTAAAAAAATAATTACACAATTATCTATAAGATACTTAAACACTTGACATGCTCGGGTATACTTTGACGTCAACGTAACGAGTGCAACGGTGCGTACGTTTTGCATGAATTGCGCGAAAGTTTGATCAAAATTTTCTTCTATCTTATTGTTTACATCTTTGTCGAATTATATACTACATATTCATTGAAAAATGTATAATTCATCATATACATTAGCTAAGTACTTTGTCCACTTCACTGTGTTGCAATTATACGTTACTCGCTATCAAAACCATTTATTTATTATATACGTATTTTTACGTGATCCGCGTTCCAGTGACAAATTGTGAAGAACGTCAAAATACGTTGCCCGCATTTCAACTGTTAAAACTCACTTTCAATCAGTTCAATTAAACTTATTACGTAAACTTACGTGTTTGTGAACTTCATTACAATTTATTTAAATACTTTTTTTTTCTTCATCAGTTTTTCAATTAATTCATTAAAATAAATTGTTTCAAGAAAAATTAAGATAAAAAAATTCAAGAAAAAAATATCAGTTTCTTAATAAAATTGAATTATAACATATATATATATATATAAATGATACAGTTATGTAATAATATTATTTGTATGTAATGATGAAATGCAATCGTTCATAGTTATTTCAACTATAAGAAGGATTAGTATTCGACCAGAATCGGACACTTTGTCGGGTTTTGTAAATCCCACGGGATCATCTTCTCCCTTTTTAGCTCACTCTCACATCTCTCTCTCTCTCTTTCTCTCTCTCTTTCTCTCTCTTTCATTCTTACACTAATGTCGAGTAACACTGTCCCTTTTTAAACGAACTACTCTACGAGATCTTTTTTTTTTCCCTACATCTGTTCTCTAACCTAAGTGAAAAGAAAATAGGATTATCGTTGGAAGGCAACTTCACGCATCGTCGAAAATCCACTTCGTTTTCGATTTCCTAATACTTTCTATCATTCTTTATCTTTTTATCTTTCTCTTTGCCCCTTTCCACCAATCATAGAACGTAAGGTAATCGATTGTCATTAATTTTGTTTTTTAATTTACATTTATAGAAGTATGTGAAGTATGTGACAACTATTAAATATTTTAAGTGTAAGAACATTTTAAATGTATTATTTAATTAATTGATTTGTTTGTTAATTCGTTTATTTGTTAATTAATTTATAAATTTTTTTAGGCTAAAGATTAAATGGTAATATATATATATATTGTATATTAATTTTATTGTATTATATTATATTATATTTTAATCTTAATATATATAAATTACGTGTCACGTTGTTTGTCCGCAATGGACTCCTAAACTACTGAACCAATTTTAATCAAATTTTGCACACTGTGTGCAGTTTCATCCAACTTGAAAGATAGAATAGTTTATATCTTAATTTATAATTGCGATATTATTTTATTGCGAATTATTTGTTTATTAAGAAAGAGTCATGATTATCTCTGTTAGTTCGATAAGATTCTAACAGATGGCGGTATAAGGTAATTCGTTGACTTAAAGACGTGTATATCGGACTGATTGTGAGCCACAGCAACACGTGGCGGGGCACCCTTATATTATATTATAATATTAAATATATTAATATATTATAATTTAATAATTATTTAATTTCATAAAATATAATAAAATAATAATTATAATTTTATATATAATATTAATATATTTATTATATAATATTATACATATTTAATTATTATTATATTACATATATTAAAATAATAATTATAATTTTATATATAGTATTAAGATATTTATTATATTATATTATAATATTAAATTTATTAATTATTATTATAATAATATATAATATCTATTATCCCTACAGTTAATTGATTAAAAAATTAATTAATAAGATATAGTCTTTCCTTTTATTTTTTTCTTTTAATTATTATTATTATCGAATATGAAAATTTGATAAGAATAATAAACAGAAATAAACAATATATATATTTATTTAAATATAAAACATTTACGAAAGTGAATAATTTGTACAAATAAATATTAAGTGCTTTAAAATAAAAATTTATAATATAATAAAACTGTGCAATGTTAGAAATATAACATATATATATATAATACAAGAGTATGTAATATCTGATAAATAAATAAAAAAAAAAATATGGATACAATATTAAAATTAGAATTTAAAATAAAATAATGTGGGATTGAAAACTATCGTTGGTCAAACTTGACAGGACAAGAACAAACTGTTAAAACTAAAATCCCTTTTTAGACCCTATCGAATTAGTTGACATTTCGAGCATCCCTTCATTGATCCTGGGACAATATAATCCTTATATATCGTTTTCTAGCTAGTACTACTAGTAAGGGTAGTACACACACAAACAAGGAGGAGTTTTATAAAATTTATCATGTTTACCTTTCGTTAATATTACAAGTGTCATATTATACATCCTTATGCTTGTATCTGTGTCTGTATATGTATAGTCTGTATATCATAGTCTTTTTTTCTTTGCTTTTTTGTTGTTTTATTATTATTATTATTATTTTTATGGAATATGTAAATTGGTTAAGCATAATGAAATAAAATATGCAAGTTTTATTCAATATTTGTCTTATTTTTTTTTTCATGTGTGTGATCAGTGGATTAGTATAGGAATATACGTGTAAATTGGCATTGTCATTTGGTGTGTGTATATTAGTAATTGTAAGGTTCATCGATTTAGAATGTAATATGGGTTATTGAAGAAACTAGAACGCATTTTAATATTATCCTTCGAAGACGCTACTTGATCGTTGATACTCGGCCAGTGTTGTTCTTGTAATTGTTCTTCTTATTACAAAATAAGTTTTATTTCAATTTTTTTTTTTATGTATAATGTATAACTCTAATAGTGTTATTTAAAATCAGTAATAAATTGATTATTCGGTTTTTTAATATTTAAAAAATCAATTATTAAATATAATTTGTGAATTAATTAAGAAAAAAAGAAGAAGAAGAAAATAATCTAATGTGAATTATTTTGTGATTTTTTATATTTAAATATACAATTAATATAATTTGTGAATTAATTAAGAAAAGAAGAAGAAAATAATCTAATGTGAATTGTCTTATGATTTTTGATATTTAAACAAAAGTAGACAATTAAATATAATTTGTAAATTAATTAAAAAAAGAAAAAACTAATTATGATTTTTTATGATTAAAAAAAAAAGGAGACAATTAAATATAATTTGTGAATGAATTAAAAAAGAAAATCTAATGAAAGATCAGACAAGTGTTGTAAGAAAAATGGATAAAAGTTCTTTGAAAAGTTTGAAAGATATTTTACAACCGTTTAAAATATTTACAACGATATTTGGAATACGTATTATAAAATTACCAAATGGTAAAAGGAATCTTAAATTGAGTGTTATATATTCGACACTTTGGTTTATATTATATATCACAAGTTGGAAATATGTATCATTGAAGGAAAGAGTATTAAATTTTAGTGATACTGAAAATAATATTATGTTATTTTCAAACATTATCGTTGTGATCATTGCAATGGTTGTAGGATTGTTCAAAAATCAGGTAAATTTCAATCATTAATTTTTTTTTCTTTATCTCCATAATTCATTTCCATCCCCATAAGTTATATACTAATTATATGTTTTGTAAATTTATGTGTAGCAATGGGACAATTCAATAAGAAGTCTTGAAGAAATTGATAAAACATTAAAAGCACTCGGTTCTAATTCACGATTTCATAAGATTTATGTTAGAACAATGATCGAAATTATATTCTTTTTAACATATTTAATCCTTATGACATCATTCGATGTATATTTTACTAATGTAGTTTTGGATGAAAATGAGACAAGCAGATTATTAACCCTTTTCTTTGCTGCTTCTCATATATACGGTGAAGTAATTGCTATTACTGTTATTTTGGAATTTTTAACTGTAGTAAGGTAAGTTAATAATCATTATTTTTAATTAAATAATGAAATATTATTATGTAATTATTATTACATAAATAGGAATAATAACTTTATTATACATATAAATTATTTTTATATTATATTTAATAATAACTATTATAGAATAATAGATATATTATTTATATTAATTTTTTACATATTTTTATATTATATACTATATCATTATTATTTTAATATATATTACATTTTTATATTCTAAAATATTATCATATAATTATATTTTAAAATATTATTATTATATATTAAATTATTAATTTTATATTATTTAATAATTACTATTATAGTAGTTTTTAATATTATATTAATATTAAATATTTTTATATTATATATTAAATCATTATTATTTTAATATATATTTTAATTATATTTTAAAATATTATTAATTATATTTTAATAATATTGGTATTGTACTAATTATTAAGTTTGTAAAGAATATAAATAATTTTTATATTATTTTATATTAAATTAGTATATGAAATAATTATTAATTTTGCATTAATTAATACTATTATAGAATAATAATATTATATTAATTAAATATTTTTATATTATAAAAATTTCGAGACTGGCAGGGTTCGAACCTGTGTTACCGCGGTTACGAATCGGGGACTTTAGCACCGAGCCACGAACAATTCTTTTTTTTTTTATCTTTATATTATATAATATTTATATTAATTTTATATTTATTATTATACGTATTTTCTTAATTATAAATTTAATATAACACATATAATAATATATAATAGAAATTTTATTATAATTTCTTTTATAGTATTATCATTTTTATTAATATATACTATAGTAACTATATTTCATAATTCATTTAAAAAAAAACAATAATTATTTATTATATATTATATTTATTATAGATGTATTAAATCGGAATTGGAACGTTCTAATGATCTTTTAAGTGATATTAATATTTTACCACGTTCATCAATAGCATTGGAATTAATTAAATGTAAAGATAAAGAAAATTCATTGAAAAATTTGATCAATGTTTTACCATCGTCTCAAAAGAAAAATTCACGTACTGATGTTAATGAACAAATGATAATACGTAGCAGACAATTGTTGCAAACAATCAGGTATGTAAATTATTTATTTATTATTTAAAAAAAANAAAAAAAAAAAAAAAACAAACAAACAGATAAATTATACAGATATTTGATGATAATTTTTTTATTTGATTTCAGACAAATTCATTTGGAATTATACAAAGTGTCGAAAAATATAACAAACATGTATAACATTCAAACATCTATAATTATCAGTATATATTTCTTTTACAACACATGTTTTTTTTATAGTTTATATTTAATCAATAAAACTACAATAGATTATCATAGACTTGTGCTCAATCAATTGTCATCTATTCCACATTTTGTCATAAGTACTATTTTTAAAGTGATCTTTATTAATTATACTTGTGACGAGACTACACAAAAGGTCATTAATTGTATCTTAATTATCAAATTTACGAATTTATTATAAATTATATTAAAATAAAATTGTTATCTAATTTTTAGATGGAAAAAGTCAACGAAATTATTTATACGTTTTATGCTGAAAGTACGGATCATATGATACAACAAGAGGTTGGTACTTCTTATTATTATTAATTTTTTTTTTTTTATTGTAATTATTGTTTTTTTTGTTATATTGGTGATTTATTAATTTTTACAAATTATGTAAATTATTTTATTTGATAATAGGTGAAAATGTTCACATTGCAAACAGCACATTGTCAATCAACGTATTCGACATTTGGATTATTTTCATTCAATAGAAAATACATATATTCGGTTGAGTATAATAAATAATTTATAAACTAAAAGGGAGAGGGGGGATTGTTAATAATATTACAAAAATGTACGATCATTTTATTATTTTTTTTTTTTTTCAGTGTGTTGGAGTTATGATGACGTATTTGACTATTATGATACAAATGTCTGATGATACTAATCACTCCTCAAATTAATTATTAAACATAGTTTTATTTAATTAATTAATTATATTATATTATACTTGTGTAATGCATAGTTTTAATTATTTCTTTTTTCTATTATATTTCCCATAAGTTATGACGTATTTGACTATTATGATACAAATGTCTGATGATACTAATCACTCCTCACATTAATTATAAAACATAGTTTTATTTAATTAATTAATTATATTATATTATACTTGCGTAATGAATAGTTTTAATTATTTCTTTTTTCCTATTATATTTCCCATAAAATTATGATATAAATAAATATATTAAAAAGATAGGAAAAAAAAAGAGAATATTTTACAATTTAATTTAAGAAATAAAAATGTTTAATAGAAAAATTATTATAGTAAATAAAATATACTGTACAATAATTAAAAAAAATAATAATTATAGAAAACTATTTAATATAATATAATTTTAATTTTAAAGATTAAATTATTAAATTAATTAATAAATATTATATTTATTATAATTAAAATTATAAGAGATAATATAAAAGTTGATGTAGAAGAACAATTATGGAAATATTTAATAGAATATATAAGTTTAATTTTAAATTGAATTATTAAATTAATTAATAAATATTATATTTGTTATAATTAAAATTATAAGAGATAAAATAAAAATTGATGTATAAGAACAATAATGGAAATATTTAATGGAATATAATTTTAATTTTAAATTAATAAATATTCTAATATTTATTATAACTAATATTAATTAAAAATAAGATAATATTTTTAGAAAAATTATTATATAGTATATAAAATATATGCACTGTACAATAATTAAAAAATAATAATTATAAAAATATTTAATATTAATTATAATTTTTTAATTTTAAATTAAATTAATTAAATTAAACTAATTTTAATTAAAATTAAGATAAAACAAAAGTTAATGTATAAGAAAAATTATAGAAATAATTAATAGAATATAATTTTAATTTTAAATTAATAAATATTATAACATTTATTATAACTAAAATTAATTAAAAATAAAAGATTATATATATGTAAAATTTGTCAAAATTATTCTCACACACAATAATAATATAACATATATACACCTATAAATTAAAAAAAAAAAAAAAAAACAAAAAAAAAATAAATAAAAAATAAAACGAATCATTTTTATTTTTCAATATAAAATATTACTATCGTAATTAATTAT